TATCAAGCTTTTATTTTAAAGAGTTGTGAACTTGGGTCTGAAGATTGTGTTGATTGCTGAACACAACTGAGTTAGCAACATGCAATTCATGAAAAATAAGCTCAGTTGAGTAAATCATTCGAACATATATATAAACCACACACCTGAACATCAATAAAACAGTTTAATTTTATGAAAACATTTATTATAAAACAATAAAAGTTACAGTATACTTGTAGAACTATTTGAGGAGGACTCACTAATGACATGAACAATTCTGAAGTAGCCCCAGAGCATCAACACTGGACCAGCAAACAGCCCATTCCAAGTAGTGGTAAAAACTTAAAACCTAAAACACATTAGGTTTTTGCACTAGATTACAATGAGATGTGTATTTCAGACTTACAGAAAGGCAAATCCTGACTGTGAATCTTGAAAGGGTAAAGTTCTTGGATCCTACATTTCTCAAAATGAAACTGGACAGTGTGTTGTTTAACCTTCACTGCCTGGTGAAAAACCTAGTGTTCCTGTTACACTGCCAGTCCTAGATTCTTTGTCTCCAAGCTGAGAGAAAACTGATAGGATCACTATTCTTATGATCCTCGAGAGCCACAGAGGACATACATACTTTTTGTCTACAGTTTTCACAGGCTGAGTAGGACTAACCACAACCATATCAACTGATCTAAATATAAAAAATGTTGCTTTACACGAGTCTGATTTTGGCAGGGTGATTTTGGTAATGTCACTTAAGTCTGTTCAGTTTGGATATTTAATCTAACGAGGTCTGTCTGCTGTTCGGTGCTGGTGACAGGGGGTTGATGCAACAGCTGCAGATTCCAGATTGTCAGACTACAAGTTTTTGTTTTATTGGTTGTTGATGCAACTTTAAACATTCTGTCCGCTGATCTAAACAAAAACACAGTGATTGACCAGAGGTATTTTTTATGTGATTTCTTTTAATTTCCTCTGTTTCATACAGCTAATTGTTTCAGTTTTTATTTATTACATCTGTGACATGAACTGTGTCCGTAAACAGAGATTCAACTGAAGGAAAGCTTTATTTTTCGAAAAATCAAACAATGAACATGGATACTGAGAGAAGATGAAGTGAATTTTGTTGCCGATCAGCAGCTCGACTTTATCTGGCTGCTGACCACTAGAGTAAATGTTTGAGTCGCATCTCAAACGTATTTCCTCTTAGCAATAACACAACTGTAACATAAAGGAAGTTTTAAGACTCAGCTCTGTATCACATTAAAGAGTGATACAGAACTTGAGAAGAGTATTGATTTCCCTCTCTCACCTGTCCAGGGTTGGACTCCACCTTCTCATCCTCCAGCAGCTTCTTGTTCTCCTCCTCCCAGTATTTCAACAGAGCCTCCCTGTCAAAGTTGCCCATTGGGGTTTTGGCCGTCTGGTCTCTTTGCCTCAGGCCGATTGGCACATTATCGTCTGGGTCAAGGTCGGCCAGCTCCCTCTCCAGCTCCTGGAGCTCCTCAGAGGACAGCGTGGCGAGCAGCTCCTCTTCATCTACCTCCTCGTACTTCTTCAGCTCACTGTGGTACCCAAAGGTACTCATGGTTCAGTTGTGGTTTGAGGACTGTCTCAAGCCTTAAATCTCGTACTCCGTTAGCACTTATACCTCCTATACTTCAGTGAATATTCCTTAAATCGTTCTCTCTCTCTGGATTTCGTCCTCCATAGGATTACTTTGGCTAAGGGATGCTGTGGGTGAGTGTTGACTCCTTGTTCATCTACTGGACCCTGACAGAGAGAAAGGGGAGGGCTCCCATGCCTGTGATGTCTGTCTTTTTATAGTGTGTGTGTGTGTGTGTGTGTGTGTGTGTGTG